TCAACAAAGTGTTAAAAAGTCAACATTAGTGTTGATGGTGATGATGAGGTTGTTGAAAAGTGACAACAATAATAAATTCAAACATGCATGAATTTTATTTGAATATTTTTCGCATGCCCACAGAAAAAGAAAATATAAATAAGGAAAAAGTTTATTTTTATTTTTTATTGTCAACTTAAGAAGCCTTTTTTCATTCTAATGAACTATAGTTTTTTTTTTCTTCTCTAAGACCAAACAAACACAAATAACCTTTTTTTGGTTGCTTACACATCCTGTCGAATCCTAGAAGTGACACACAAGAAAGCCACTCAATTAAAAAAGTCTCAACGTTGAAAACTACGTGACTTACAATTTTTATTAAACTCCAGAGATTGTCAGTGGTGGGGTGGAGGGGGAAAGGGGAAAAGGAAGAGATTTTTCTTTATTACAAATTTTTATTTTTAAAATATCGAAATACTGCAACAATTAAAAGAAGTATTTTGGAATTTTTATAAAATTTATATACACTCGAAAAAATTTTCAATTTGAAATTCTAGCGGGTGATTTTAAATCCATTTTTTGCCAATGTGCTCCAACACAAAGTATCAAAATTCAGTAGTTACATTTTTGTTTAGTTTGAACTAACATTTTTGAGGGCATTTGATGTTTTACACAATTTTGCCTTCATACAAATATATTCAATTTTTTTCACGGGTGTATATACCTTCTATATTTCCCCACACCCCTTTTAGTACCACATTTTCTTTGCACAAATGTCTGGTTAAGTACTCATGTCTTACCTGCTATTTACGCAGGATTTCTTCACGTTCATGCCTCGTACTCTTGTTGTATGTGTGCATTCTCCCTCCCCTCTTTTCTTTTCTCTTTAACAACAACCACTTACACTTGTTTTTGTTGACATTAATTTGTTGTATCATTTGTTTTTATTGCTCTCATAAATAGCACGCTCTTGTGTTCCGTTACAAACTTAACTCTTTTTTTGTAAGCACTCTTCTACACACCATAGCCACTAAATAAACACATACACCCACATACCACCTCAACATCAAACCTCCTCCCACTTCTTGTTCATAATACTTGTAATGTGGAACATCTTGTTTTATCATGTTAACAATTAAACAGTTGTTCGTGGTAAAATTTATATTAAAAGAAAATAATAGATTTCCTCTTTAAATTAAAAAGAGAGAGGGAAAGAGAGAGAGAGAATGAAATATTCAATTGCTGATCATAAATACCAACGTATCTTATTGTAAACACTGGGTTGGGGTTGTGGAAGGCAAGGTGTTCCTAAATAATATTAAAAAATAGTGAAATAAATTGGTTTTAGAATCAAATAAATGAATTGAATAAAAAAATAAGAAACTAAGAATGGCGGGTATCCTTAGAAAAAAAATTGCTGGACTTTTTCTCAAAAATACTTCGAACGTAGATTGTGGTGGACGTTTGCAGAAAGATGCACGTTTCTCTCTAAAAATACGAAGCTAAGGCGAATATATAATCTGAAATTCATCTGTAGAAAATACGACCCCTTTGGATTTTAGAAACCCTCAAAATCTATTATCCCATAGACTGAGGAAAATAAGAAAAATATTTTTCCACAGTGGTTAGACATATATATCCCAAAGAATCCTATTTATAAAAAATATCCCTCATATGTTCTTTAAAAGGTATATATATATATACATACATTGTTTTTTATATGAATACACCTTCAACGTCTCCCGATGGTACATGGTATTTTTAAATGGTGTTTGCCAAGATCTCATATAGGTGTGGATTTTTTAATGTGATAGCACTGTACCTATTAGCGTATAATTAAAAAAAATTATTAGTTTACTAAGGCGTATGATTTATATTAACACAAATATTTATATATACATCATACGCTTTCGTATAATTTTGCTTTAACAAAGATTCTCTTTTAAGGTAAAAAAAAGAATAACCCTTTATTTTACCTTCTTATTTACAAACATAGACACACACACATACACATTTAAAATGATTTCATTGTTCTCTACATTGTTGATATCTGTTGTAATTAAATGTAATTGTCAGTTGTTGTTCTTGTTTTCAAAATAAAAAGTTTAATTTGCAACAGCTTGTGGTATTTATATTTGTTGCCATTATTTTTATAAGAAGAAATGGGAGTGAAGGGGAAGAGGGAAATTCGAAATGGGTTGATTTTCGTTTATTTTTAAGGAAACCCATTTTGGATTCTATATGTATATATTCGTGTCTTCGTTCATATGAAAACTTTCCGGTTTTCTATAAATATGACCTTCTGATTTTTCATAAAGAAGGTATTTTTGGTTATATTGAAAGAATTTATTCTAGTCTTCCATAGGTTTATTTTGTTCGATGAAGACTTGTGGTTCTCCTTAAGCAGATTCTTTGGGTTTTCTATAAGGATAACACTTTGGTCCCCCTTAAGACGACCATCCATTCTGGTTTCCCATTCTGGATGCGAAGAACCTCGTCTTCTACAAGAATAACATCTGGCCTTATATAAGAAGATATTCTAGTATTCTATAAGAAGACACTATGTTCATCTATAAGATATTCTTGCCTTCTACAGGAGGACCTTCTAGACTTTTATCAAAAGTAGACTTCCTGATCTTCTTTAGCAAAACTTGCTGGTCTTCTATACGAGGTCAGTTCGGAAAGTGCGTAGCCTAGCACAAAATGCGCGGTATAAACAGAAAACTTATGTTAAATTGTTAAATTTGTTTCGATCTGGTAACTCCTTCATATAGAAGCAGGTGTTCAAAAATGACGCATCCGCAATTTTTTACAATGGAAAACAAAAAATGCATGCTTTCATAAAAAAAAATCATGAACATTTCTATATGTTTTCCATTGAAAAAAAAAATGTGTTCATAACAGAGATGGTAGTTTCAAAACACTTAACTTTTTTCTGTTTATACAGCGCTTTTTGTGCTAGGCAAAGAACTTTCCGAACTGCCTTCATATGAAGACATTCAGCTTTTTTATAAGGGATATTGTCAGGCCTTTCATAAAAAGACATAAGTTCTTCTATTAGAATACATTGTGGTCTTCTATAAGAAGATTTTCTGGTTTTCTATAAAGATCTTATGATCTTTTAGACGAAGGCCTTCTCGCCTTCTACAAGAAAATCATCTGGTCTACTATATGAGGAGAAGAATATCTTTTGCCCCTGTACTGTACATTCTGTACTTTTGGTTTTTATATTAGGACCATCAAGGCTTCAAGGACCCTTCTAATCGTCTCTATGTAGACCTTCTACCCTTCTCAAAAATAACATCCAAGACTTCTACAAAAACGACTTCTGATCTTTTATAATATCTTCAGTAATTTTATAAAAGAAGATCTTCTTGGGCTCTTTTGGTGAAAGAGACCTTCAAGTCTTCTCCAGAAGAATACCTTCAACTCTTCGATAGAAATATATCCTCCTCAACTCGTCTGTGAAGAAATCCTTCAGTTTTTCTATGAGTAAAACCTTCTGCTCTTCTGTTATGAGTACCGCCCACACTTATGAAAGTTTTCTTCAAAGAAAAACTGAACGTTGAACTCTTCTACGAAAGAAGGCCCACAGCTCTTCTATGGAAGAAGGCACCCAGTTCTTCTACTAAAAAAAATGCATAAGCTCTTCAATGGAAAGAATGCCCTCAGCTCTTCTACGGAAGAAGGTCCTCAGATTTTCCATGGAAGAATACCTTCAACTCTTCTATGGAAGAAGAACTTCAGCTCTTCAATGGAAAAAGACCATCAACTCTTTTATGAAGAGAAGACCTTCAGCTCTTCTCTGAAGGAGACCTTCAGCACTTCTATGAAGAGGAAGGACATCTTTAGCTCTTCTCTTCTTTAGATGAAGGACTTCTTCTATAGAAAGGTCTTCTTCTATAGAAGAACTGAAGGTCTTATTCATGGAAAAGCTCAAGGGCTTCGTCATGGATAAACTTCGTGGTTAAACTCAATATCTTGTTTTTAGGAGGACTCTATAGCAAAACTGAAGGGAGAACTCTTTATAGAAGTACGGGAACATGTTTCAAGAAATCCGTTAAATCTTCCTCTTTTAAAAATTTCTATTCCTATGGAACTTCCTAAGAACTTCCGTTCATGAAAGGAGTATTCTATAAGATACTAATTTTCTGTACGATATTTAGGTGTAAGATAGACATTCTGAGACCTCTATGAAATTATGTGGCCTTCTATTGGACCTTCAGGTCCATTATAAAATATTTTGGCTTTCTATTAGACTATCAAGTCTTCTCTGTGACCTTCTGGTTGTCTGTAAGATATTTTGGGATTATATACGATTTTCGAATCTTCTATACGGCTTTATAATATTCTATAATATTATTCTTAAATCCCATTGTTTTCTATGAGAAACATATAGATCTTTTGTATATTAGCTTTCTACAGCGAAGAATTCTTTCTTTATTTTCTCAAAAATATTTCCCACGTTGCTTAATTAAAAACTTATTCTTGTATAGTCCCTCCCTCCCTATATTACTTTTGACTTAAGGCTATTTTTTTATTGCGGTTATAAATTTTAAATCTGGGCTAAGTTATTACAACAAAACAACAACAACATGAGAAGTTTAACATCTTCTGCAAAGGCTACGTGAAAATATTCACATTGTTCTCAAAGAATTTTTTTTTTAAATATGTTTAAGGATTTGTGTACGTTCCGACCTCCTTGGCACGTACCTTGATTGCATTAATTATTCGGATAGCCATGGACCAAACACAACAACAAAAAATTGGTTGGGAAAACAAAAAAACTTAAGGCAACAAACAATGAGGCCTCCTCTACTAATCATGATTGTTAATGAGTTTTTTTTCTCCCAGCCTCTTCCTCAAAAGTATTAGGGAAGAGAGTACTAAAGGTCAAGGGAGTAAAGTGCGAACTTCTTTGCAATGTGGCACCTGTAAAATTTACACTTCTTGTGGTGTGAGTTATCTTTCTCTGAAGTTTTCTTCGAAGAAAATTAAAATACGCAAATTTTCCTAACAAAATGTATAAATCACGTTCGAATTATTGTTCAAGTGGTCACATTGATAAGCGTGGCAGTAATTTGCCTCTCGCCAGAAACAAAAGACGCAAGACAAACATAAATCACAGGGGTTTTATTCAAAACTTACTGGCAATGAAACAAAGGTGATTAATTTGAAGTGGTCTTTTTTTTGGAATATCAAATGAATTTCATTAATTGCATATTAATAATCTGAGAGCAATTTCTTAAATTATTACAATAAGTCCGTTCCAGATTCTGGAAAAAATTATACATTTTTGTAGAAGATTAAAAATAGTGACCAGAAATTGCAACTACTGATTGCATGTTGTGTCTACTTTGAAGGATTGACATTTTTTATTTAATGTTATTTATTTCAAGAAAATATTTATTTATATGTTCGATATTTTTACTAATTCTTCGCTTCCGATTTTTTTCGTATTATTTTGTAATCTGAGAGCGAATATATTTGAGGCCAGAATAAGTATATTCACTTCTTCAATATATATATATATATATATATATATAAATGTCCTGGTATAATGCTTAAAAATTAAACTGGACAGTATAAGTCCAGAATTTTTAATTTTTTTTTTTGTATGTATGTTTCCCTGAAATTGTTAATAATGACTTTTTTTCTATTTTTCTCTATTTTTAGACGACGCAACAATAACAACAACTCGTATAGGAAAAACAGCTGCAGTCCAAATTGTGTGAAAGGCTTCGTAAGTATTATCGAAACTAATTTCTTATCGAAAATATCATAGTCGTCTTCATCATAGAAGAGCTGAAGGTCTTATTTCTATGAGAAGAACTAAAGGTATTTCTATATCGAAGAACTGAGGGTTTTCCTCTTTAGAGGAGCTGAAGGACTTCTTCATAGAAATGCCGATGCCTTTTCCTCTTTAAAAACTATTTTTCTTGTGGTCTTCTTCTTGAGGCCTTCATAACCCCTATAAGAGCTTCCAGTATTTAATGGAGAATTCTGGTCTCTAAAAAAATTAATACTCCGGCAGCTCCTCCTCCACTCCGCCATCTTCATCATCCTTCTCATCAAGTATCTCCGAATCGGAAACTTCTCCGAAATCCTCCTCCTCAGCAGTGAAACGTAAGCGACTCAAGCTCAAGGAGGATACTGAAAATGTGGTCGACAGTTTTGAAAACTTATCATGCCCAGCCTAAGTGAAAGCCTAATCGAACACTATATATATATGTCTTCTTTTATATATTTTGGTCTTCTGTGGGACCTTCAGATTTTCTATTAAACCTTCAGCTCTGAAATAACACCTTCAGTCTTTTCTAAGACTTTTGAGCATTCCATAAAACCTTCAGGTCCTCTATAAGACCTTCAGATCTACAGGTCTTCTGTAGGACCTTCAGATCTTCCATAAAACCTTCTGATCATCTTCTCTTTGTAGAATTCGGCAAGACCTTTTGGTTTACAATTTCAGACCTTCTAATCTTCTATCTGTCCTATAAGCCTTCATTTAGACCTTCCAGTCTACTATATGACCTTTTGGTCTTCTGTATGAATTTCTGCCGTTCTATAAGACCTGCTTGTATTTTATACGATATTTAGATCTTCCTTGTATATCTTGTATTGTATACGATATTTAGATACCTTCTGTTAACAGTTGTGAGACCCTCAGATGCAACCTTCTACCTTCTTAAAAGTTGTGAGACCCTCAGATACAACCTCCTAACTTCTTAAACCAACCTATTAATTTCTTTAACTGTCTCAGGTCTTCTGCATTCCGAACAAATAGTCAATCGATCTGTCCCACACATCCTTAGAAAACTTGAAAATAATCCCCTCTCTCTATCTCTCTCTTCAGAATTCCCGCTTTAACGACGACTACTATCCACCGCGGAACAACTACGCTTACAATAATAATAACAACGGAAATTGGAACAACAACAGCAATTGGAAAACTAATTGGAACGATAACTCGATAATACATTGGACACCCAAATCGAATTGTAACGGTAACAACAACAGCAGCAACAACAACAACGCCAACAATAAATATCGTTTTGAACGTCGTAATTCAGCAACCGCCAGGAACTTTGCCAACGATGTTGATGTGAGGAATTTTGAAATATCCAACAGAGAATTCGCAAATGATTACAACAACAGCAACAACAATAGTCGAGACTCCTGTTATAGACGTTCGAATTCTACAACACCACCTTTGAGAACCAACAAAAGTTCCGTCGATCGTACTTCGGAAAAAGAAGAAAAGAGAATTGCGGGAAAAGTCGAGAAGAAACGAATTGGAAAAGCTGATAGGCGTAGAATATTAAATGATTCGCGCGAAAAACTGAAAAGTTCCCCCAAAAAAGTCGAAAATTCTGTGAAGAGAAAAATTGTAGAAAAAAAGCAGGAATTGCAGAAAGCAACAGCCAGCCAAAAAATTGTAAATATAAAAACTGAAAATAATTTGAAGGAAAAAAGTCTTAAAAATAAATTGGAAAATTCGAAATCCCATGAAGACACAAAGGATTCGGATTTGTTAAATGAAAATTTAGATAAAAAATCGGAACATTTAGATTTACCAAAAGAAAATCAAGATACCAAATCAACAATAAATTTAAAAGAAAATCTTGATAGCAAATCGGATAGTACTCCCACTTCTTCAAAGAAGAAATCGGAGAGTGCAAAGAAACCCAAAGTTTCACCCAAGGCCTTGAAAAAAGAGGCCTCCTTGGGTATTAATAAAGTAAAACCACCTCTTAACAAGGCTGCCGTGAAAAGGTCTAACCTAAAGCAGCCTATTAAAACGAAACCACCACCTGCCAAGAAAATCTCCAAACCGAAATTAAATAAAAATTCAGAAATTGGTAAAACCACAATTGCTGTGGCCGATACCACACAAAGAGATAACTCGCCGGATTCAAGCTCAACACAAATTGCAAATTCCAAGGGTGTATGTGACAACAAAGAATCGGATTCAAAGTCGGATGAAAAGGCTGACGATTTAGAGGCCAATGAAGCGGAATCAAATTCACAAGAAATCGATAATCACATAGAAAAGGAGACCAAGGAAGGTGAAAAAGAAGCAGTGGAAAATTGTGTTTACCCAGCTTCCTAAGAGTCCCCAGAGCACTGAGCTATTGTCTGAGATTAATCACCAAGATTCGGAAGCCGCTGAGCCATTAATATATGAACATATGCCCAGTGTTTTAAATGTCACATGCTCTTCACAGGACGAAGAAGAAGATCACGTAGAAGCTGCCATCAATAAGGTTAATAATTATTTGGAACAACAACAACTACAACTTCCTCTACAAGAAATTGAACAGCCAGCCGAGGAAGAAGATCTACAATCCAAAGAACCAGCAACAGTATTAAGCATCAGTAATCATCCGAACCCAAAATCCCCAAGAGGCGAAATTCCAAGCCAAGAATTTCAATTACCCAAAATTTCTTTGATACCCCTATCCCGACTTATTGCCAGTGAGGACTCCACCTTGGCCATAGATCTTGCTACAAAGCCACAAAGCAACAACAACTCCAACAATACCGCACATAAAAATCATCACCACCATCATCCGATTATTTTCAAACCAAATTTAATCAAGCGGAAACGTAACATCTCAACATGCAGCAATACCTCCACCAGCAGCAATACCGGCTCCGCTGCTGATAATATCATCGACAAGCTGGTGACTATGAACAAGCATAATATACGCGATATAATCAATAACAGTAATACAAAATACGACGAAGCCTTAAAGGCTCAGGCCCGTAAACGGCTACGTGAAGAAATCCGAGATCAATTGCGCTCATTGTATATTGAACCGATTAAGGATCATCCGGTAAATTCGGAATTTGTACCAGACGAAATTGTCGATTCGATACACATACCAGATCTATTATTGGAAGAGATACGCAAGGCATTGGGTTACGAGGAACAGTCGTTGGGTGCCATAACAGCTCCTCTTCCGCAGCAGATTAAAAGTGAAGACTCAGCCACACCTCCACCCTTGGAATTGGAAATTATTGAAGAGAAATTGATAAATATTCAAGAGCCTCCAGCTCCTAGAAGTCCACAAGAGGAAAGTGTTAGACCACTAATTGTCGAGGAAGAACAGACAGTCACAACTCCCCCAGAGGAATTGAGTGGTGATATTCACCAAGAAGATCCAGCCACAGTTTTGACTTCACCACCCCTCAACATGGCTGATGAAGAATTTTCGATCTTACCAACCATTAAAAAGGAACCCACTGAGGTTAACAAGCCAGAGGAGTCCGAAAAACCTCCCAGCACAAAAACCAAACATTATCGAAAACACAAAGAATCTCACAAAACCAAACGCTCCCCGAAGAAGAGTCACAAAAAGAAAGAGAAACTTAATCCCGAAATTATTTGCCTTGATTCATCTTCGGATTCGTCCGGGAACAGTTCATCCTCCTCCGGCAGCTCATCGTCCTCCTCGTCTTCATCATCTTCATCATCCTCCTCCTCATCAAGTGACTCCGAATCGGACACATCCCTCAAATCATCCTCATCAGCAGTGAAACGTAAACGGCTCAAGCTCAAAGTGGATGCTGAAAATGTGGTCGACAGTTTTGAAAAACTTATCCTGCCCAGCCTAAGTGAAAGCCTCATCGAACGCTACCGCAGCAAATATTCCAATACCACACACACAAAATTGCATTTTATTTCATGTATATGTGTTAGTGAATATAACTCGGAGAAATTCTCCAAAATGGAAGTGGCCAAGATCCAAAGGAATCTAAAGTCCACCGATTGCTCGATGGCCTTGGAATTTTTAATGCGAGAAATTGTCAATGTTTTCAATAAACAAAAACAGGTGGCAAAATTAGGTGAACAAAATGGGGCGAAGAAGATGAGTGGCTCCTCCCCCACGAAAAAGGAGTCACATGAGAAACAAAAATCTGCCAACCTAACAGAAAAGGATGGAGGCCACAAAGATAATGCGGTGGAAAAATGTACTTTAACATTGTTTAGAGAAGAGCTGAAAGAGGGTGCGCAGCAGCCACGACCCATAACTACAGCTCCCTTGATGCATGGTAGCCTAAGCACCACAACCAGCAATGAGGTACCTCCCACACCACAACAACAACATCAAAGAGAAGTAACCAAAAACATGGATACTGAAGATGGATGCCACAAAACACACTCCTCCTGCTCGACCATAAAACCACCACCCCACAAAGATGACACCAGCAGCAGCGCCCAAAATCATCTCAATCGAATTAATCAGTTACAGAGAGACACTGAAAATCAATTCAATCATATCAGAACCCTGACAAATTTCAGCAACACCTCCGATTATAGCCTACTACCCCTGACCACAGATACAACCAGCAATTCTATACGTTTTAATGCCAGTATCTTTGATTATCCCTCATCTTCCTCGTCATCCGCGATCACATCAACAGCATTTGGTAGCCAACCACCTACATTTCCCGCCTTGGATTTGGAATTGCTCAGAAAACAATCACCCATTGGTGAGGCTGTGGTTAATAATCTACGAGAAATCGATGTCAAGCTAATGGAACTACACAAACGAAAAATGTATATCGAGGAAATGATACTCAAACTGCAAAAGGATAAAATGGATACGGATCTGTTGACCATAAAACTGCAAAATGAGAAATTTATTTTATTAAACACGGCGATGACAGCCAATGTTACCACCTCAGCGGCACCGGAGAAATGTAAAAAGCTGTTTGATACCACCATAAATTTGAAAAATATCAAAACCGAAACTGTGGATATTACCGATGATGAGCAGCAGCCACAACAACCACCTCAAGCTTTGGCGAAAAGCAGAAGTCAAGACCAACTGCCCCAACACTCTTCAAGGTTAACTGAAGAGCCACCCAAACTTACACATATAACAGAGGAGCAGGATATGCCCTCTACACCCAAGGAAGATATAACAACATCCACATCTTCCACCTCCTCCTCCACCTCTCACACCTCAAGGCAAAAATCCCCAGCCTCCAGACACAAAACTACCCCCGAAAAAACCAAACGTAAATCTTCCTCAGATTCCATACACATTGGGGAGACCTTTAAACGCCTCTGTCGCGAAGCGCAAAAGGCCTCAAGTGAGAATCGCGAAGTAAGCAGTAGTGGTAATAAAAATCAGGATAATACCCGACCCAATAGCCCCAACACTCCACGCGAAGAAACCACACATAGATCGAAATCGAAAAGAAATGCAGAAACAAAAAATGGGCGTTCGAAAAAACATAAAAACTCAACAATAGAAAAAAATAAAAAATCCTCAGTCAGTCCCTCCAGGACACCTGTGCAACAACCACAACAACATCATCATCATGAAGAAGAAAAAGAAGAAGCCAACGAAGAAGCACTGGAGAATGAAACCACTCCCAAGGCCACAACATCAATGTATACACTATCACCACAAACAGCAACAACAGTATCACCCAGACCAACATCGGCACTCTCCAATGCTAGTCTTGATGCACCCACAAATACACCCACGCCCACACCACCTCCTCCAGCTACTTCATCAACGGGTGATTTTTGCGATAATTTACAAAAATATAAAAATATGCCCTGTCGCCTATTGGAAAATCTCCAATCACCCATTGCTCAAATCCGGATTTATCAAAATTCCATATTGGCCTCGACGGAAGATGGTAAAATCTTTATGTTCAATGCCGCGACTTTGGAATTGGTGAATACATTTAATAAACACACCGAGGCCATAACACAAATGTATTTGTGTGAGGATAAGGGTTATTTGTTTACCACCTCACTGGATGGTTACATGAAGAAGTCGTTATTGGAGGTAAGTTTGTGAAATAAATATTAAAAAAATTATTTTATAAAATGCGAAATCTCCTGGCAGGAAAACGGATAACATTTTTTATTGTCAATATGAAAATATTTAGAATATGAAATGAAACAAACAAATCAAGGTCTACATTAGTTTTCTAATATTTGTTATTAATATTAGATCACCTCTTATCACCGTTCCGTCCGATAATTTCTTAAATTTTCTTCAATGCTCAGATTTTGTTCATTCAATTTGTAATGTAAAATGAACACCTGTTTGCTAAATACATATTAGCATACTTTTAGGCGTTTTATTAATGAATTTAATTCCCGTTGAGGATTTGTTGGGGGATTGGTATCAAAAGGACTTCTCTGCTATAAGTTTATTTTTGCAAAAAAGAAAGCAGGACCCCCAAAATGAAAACCTTTGTACGTTGGTAATTGTGGGGGTAATGATAATTAGAGTACGATTCCTAATAATATTTTCAGTAAAAAATAATTACATATTATTATAGGCTTAAACGGCATATACATTAGAACTTTTTACCGGGTTAAAAAATCATATATGCAAAGGAATTGACAATTGAAACCCACTCGGTCAACGAAATCCGGTTAAATGTAAACGTACTATTAGAGGAAAAATCTATGACAATAAAAAATAGTATTCCGAAAATGTTGCCTATTTTTAGGTGCTGGAGAATTTTTTTGTTACTTAAGCATGTAATCACTTACATTCAATTTTTAACATTTAAATTCAATTCTTAAAACCAATTTTTTCTATTTCAGAACCTCTCATCGGGTACCCAATCGGTATATTTAAAAGAACCTCTACAAACATTGGATATACAATGGGATACAGCATTTACTGGCAGTAGATGGGGAAATATTTACACAACTAACATATTGGTAAGTACAGGAACAATAACGACAGTAATAATTATGAGGATGTATATTTACACACTGTGGTGGGTGGGAAAACAAGATAGAACCATAGATAATTTGAAGGATATACATATATTCACATTCTGAGTCGATTTATGGACGTGTCTTTCAATTTATTTTGCGTTACTAGAGCAACTTTGTGGAAAAAACAGCGAAGCACACAAATATTTCTTCCACAAATATCTTTCTTTAAAATTTGGAAAGTGTCTGAAGACCCACATGATCGAGTACTCTAAATATCTCATTATTGTTGGTGGAAGATGATTCCATCTAACGGTATGTCACATGACAACGGTACATCAACAACGGCTGTTTTTGAATGCCCTTCACGGATAAAATTGTATTCATTATTTGTGGTTGAAATGGTTGACTTATATTTTGAAGCCACTACAAACAACACAACACATGGTCGTACGTCAAACCATACTGAGGACGTTTAAAGGACGTTTTAAATTAAAAACACTCAGACCTGAAATATATATAGTTGCCCTAGAGTTAACTCACACGAATTGATTCAAAGAATTTTCAAAAATACACTATAAAAAATGTATGTTTCCCAACAACATTATTATGCCCAGCACATAATGTGTTCGATTTAAAATTTATTGATGCGACGTGATTATAATTCACGGCCGAATGATATTAACTTTAACGTGTAATTTATTACGCACTTCTCTTTGTCTTCTATTTTTAATGTACTTACTTCTTTCGTTTGCTTTCAAAAGGAAAATTCTCGAAATATACAACACACCCTTTTTATCGATATTTTGTAAATTGTATTGCAAATGCAAAAACGTCTGCGAAAAAGGGCGTTGTTAGAAATCACATTTGCTGCAATGTAAGACAGAATGCTTCCTTCCCTTTGAAGAAATATTCCCAAGAAAAGGGTAGTTGCATTTTCCAAATGCCTTTCGTGCAAAGACATCATTGTTTTACTCCCTAAAACTAAATGGGGACCAAAAGCAGCCATTATTATACTACTAAGACATCATTACAAGCTACAAAATTGCATACATACATTTGTATTGTCTCAACATAATAAAATGCATGTAACTATTGCATTTGTATTAAATTTTAAGAAGAAGAAAACAACACCGCCTTCTTTTGCAGGTGGAGCTCTCGTCGTATGTCTTTGTTATCCATGCACACTGCGACTGGCACTGCATGTTTGTGCGCATAAATGCCTTCAGTATTTTGTTTAGAGGTATTTATTTTCCTCTGTATATATAAATACTAACAACAAATAATATGTTTTGCTTATGTATTATATATACATATCTAAATAAATACAATGACACATAAACCAGTTGTTTTCGGAGGGAGTTGATGTTAGAGAACAACTATCGCCATTTAAAAATTAAAACGACTGCGTAGAAAATACATTTTTTGCATCACCATTTTTATAGGGAGGGACTAGTTTTGTATTTTGAAACTATCGACTGAAGTTATTTGGAATTTAGCATTGGAACATTTAAAAATTCCGAATATATGGAGGCTATACCGATACCGTGACCCTATATTTTCCACTTTCAATAACAAACATCCTAGGAGTTGTAGCAATGTATGTGCAAAATTCCGAAGCACTATCTTAAATATTTCGAACTTTATCGTGATTTCAACAGACATACATAAATCGACATAAAATTTTGTTCTGTAGGTATTGTTTAAATTTATTTTGTTATTGTAAAAACAATAAAACAAAGTAATGAAATTGTTGTAAAGTAAACAATACTGGTCAGCAATCAGATTGGGTCTCCGGTGAATGTATTAATTTACAAGGACCTTACCAGTCAATATTATGTTTTCGATAGAATTCCCGGCCATTTTTATTCCTTTCAATGATCCAATTAGCAAAAACATAACGTTCTTGATAAAAAGAAAAAAGAACCACGATGAATTGATAAACATTAAGTTTTTTAACACCTTAAGGTACAGTCACATTACTAACTTGACCCAACAGCCTTTTTACCACGTCGACTCAAAAATTCTTTACGTTTGCTGTTAATACTTGTAAAATGTTACCCTTAAAAATGAATTTTCCGATATATATTTTTTTTATATATTTTGGTTGTTACAAAAATGTAATCTAATTTTTCAAAGAAAGAATCAAAGTATCTCTCAAAATCTATAGTTGTTGACAACAAGTATACATGAAATAAACGGATCAATCAAGGAACGTAAACGGAATCAATCAGTGGACACATGACGTATACATGCTGTCATAACGTATACGTTATATGTCCCATTGTTTGTGTAAAGAAATCTTTCCGGATTTCGATTGTCAGAAAGTTGTAAACACTGTAATAATTGATGTTATCGTTATTTTCTATAATATATTTTATTCTTACATATGTACTTCTGAATTTTACTTAACCCTTTCAGTGTCAAAAAAAAAGCATAGAGTTTAGAAAAAATAGCAATTTACTTTTTAACCCTCGGACAGTTTCGTCTGTCTTTCAGCAAAATAGTAAACTATTTTGAGCAGAAAATTTTGAAATTTGATAAGGATTTCATCAAAGAATATGTCATACTATTAATATCCACTAACTTAAAAAACTCTTTTCTCGAAAGCCTAATGATTTTGGATAGGTTTTCGGTGTTTCATTCATAGAATGTACGGTTCAATCTGTAAATTGTAACAGCCGATTTAAAACGTTTCGATTGACATAAAACGTAATTCTATACTCCCAAAAAATATACAATTCTGTCTTACTCTTTTTCAAGTTTCAGCTTTCTAGCTTTAGCTTTACATTGCTACAGGGCTAGGAAACAACCCAATTGGTTACTAGCAATTTCCATTCAAATTACTTTCGGGATTTTTTGTTATCCTGCATTTTATAACTTTTTATTTAAAATAAATAATGATTTGTTTTTTTATTATTTGCTTCAAATATAAGAAAACAATAAACTAAAATTGGTACCGCCTCCTATAAAATGTATCATTGTCAAGAAAAACTTTCTCATTGGAGCAACTCAATGTGTATTGCAACAACAAATTGCACATAACACAGTTGACAATGTTGTTATTATTGTGTATTATTATATAGAGAGTGGGAGTAAACAGTTTGCAAAACTAAATATGGTTTCTGTTTACTACACCCTATCTTTTCCCACACATAACTGCTACAAATAACAACAACAATGTAATAGAATGCCAGCACCTTGTAAGAGGGCAATTATTTTTGCCTGCACTGCAACACAAATATAAACAACAAAGAAACACACACACTAATACAGTCTCCCCACACAATACTCCCGTTGTGCAATGCACAACAACTGTTTTTCTCTATGCCATTCACAACTACTCTCCTTCCGTTATTAAATATGCTCTCTTTTATTGTTGGTGAACAACGGATGTTAGGTCCTCTACTCAAGCAAGACCTCATTAGGCTCTTTTCTATCTCTCTTGCTTTCTCCCTATCTAATCAACGTTATTTTTTCCTCTCCGACAAAAATGCATTGTTTTTGGATTATAATGGCAGTGCGCATGCCATAATGCATGCATTTGTTTACCATTATTGCACTTGTAGTTGTGGTATGTTGCTCTCTAATTTCCATGCATCACAACCCATTTTCTATAGTTTCTTTATATGGTTTGAATTGTTAATGGTTTTTATAGGGGAAATCCACTAAAAAGGAGGATGGTAGTTATATTAAGGACTTGCTATTTTATACTCCCTTACATGTTTTTGTGTTTTTATATAAATACACAGTTTATATGTTTATTTTAATAGTGGAAATAAATAGAAATGTCCCCTTGGATTTTCTTATTGTATTTTAACATTCTTTCTTTCACTTCATGCTGGTTGGTTGCTGAATTCTCTGTCGTCAATTGATATTTTACTGGGGGCGTGTATTCTAACCTAACAAACGTCTTTCTTATTGGTCGTTAAAAATGTACATCTGTATGTGTGACAACAACAAAATAACTAACATTTTTTGTTGTTGTTTGTATTTATATATGTATGTAATATTTATTTACCAGTTAAATTTTTTTTCCTGTAGAGCAGAATTATAATAGGGAGGAGTGTTTTTTTCTGAAAAAATAATATCAAATATTTGAAAGGATAATGTCGAAGTGTCAGAAGAATTAAAAATGGAAGGAAATAGGTTTATAGTTGGATGGATTTTTTTTCCTTTTTGAATGAGTTAATGGAAATTTTTTAGACGCGCTAGATGTAGTATTGTTAACGATCTGAAGGAGGCATTTTAAGGCACTTTATTGAAGGGCTGAGGAGTTTATTTGTGCTTGATTTGTAAACAAGCGGAAGAGAGTAATTATAGAAGAGTATATGGGAGTCGTTATAAACGTGCTGAGGGGAGTATTTTTAGATGAGTTGAAGGGAATTTTTATAGACGATCTGAAGGGAGTCTTTTTAGACGAGCGGAAGGGAGCCTTTCTAGACGATGGGATGGGAGTCTAGACGATCGGAAGGGAGTTTTTTACACGATTGGAAGGGAGTCTATAAAGAAAGGGTTTCTTTATCGATGAGTTGAAGGGAGAATTTATTAGAAAGTTGAAAGGCTTATTTCTAATCGAGCTGAATGGAGTATTTATAGACGACAGAAAGGGAGTCTTTATACATAAAGAGCGAAAGGGGGAGTTGAAGGTAGTCTTTATAAGCAAGCTGAAGGGAAGGGAGTTTTTTAGGCGATCGGAAAGGTGTCTTTTTAGACGATTGGAAGGGAGTTTTTTTAGGCGATCGGAAGGGAGTATTTTTAGACAATCGGAAGAGAGTCTTTGTAGACGATGGGATAGGAGTCTAGACGATCGGAAGGGAGTTTTTTACACGATTGGAAGGGAGTCTATAAAGAAAGGGTTTCTTTATCGATGAGTTGAAGGGAGAATTTATTAGAAAGTTGAAAGGCTTATTTCTAATCGAGCTGAATGGAGTATTTATAGACGACAGAAAGGGAGTCTTTATACATAAAGAGCGAAAGGGGGAGTTGAAGGTAGTCTTTATAAGCAAGCTGAAGGGAAGGGAGTTTTTTAGGCGATCGGAAAGGTGTCTTTTTAGACGATTGGAAGGGAGTTTTTTTAGGCGATCGGAAGGGAGTATTTTTAGACAATCGGAAGAGAGTCTTTGTAGACGATCGGAGGGGAGTTTTTTACACGATTGGAAGGGAGTCTTTATGGACGATCGAAAAGGAGTCTTTATAGGCAATCGAAATGAAGTCTTTATGGACGATTGAAAGACAGTATTTATGGACTTTTAAAAGAGAATTGTGAGCGGGAGCGTGTCATTAAGTGATTTTTATGACTTTCAGGGAAGCATTATTCACATCTGAGAAGATTTTTTTGCAAATCGAGGGCTATTATTGGCCTATAAGAATAGATTTTTTTCGATAATCCAAAAAGTTTTTCTAGATGTACTTCAAATTATGGGAATATGTTTAACATTTATTTATTTTACTTATTACGTCAATTCCTTAATATTTTTCCTTATGTTTTTCTAATTTCAGGCCAATGTACGATCTGCAGCATTGCTATGCTCCACAGAATCGTCAATACTTACAATTAAGGCAGCCAAGGAAGGAGCACGCAAGGTATTGATTGTCAGCTCTAAAGGTAATCTAATACATGTGCGTGATGCTTCCTCCGGATTATTGCTGCGAACATTTGATGTACCCGATTGCATAAATATATATAGTATATTGTTGAATGATGGCCTGCTCTATTGTGGTACACAGAAAAAAGAAATAAGGAAATATGATTTTGTGGTGAGTTTTTAAAAATTAAAGAAATTTAATCAAATATACTTTACAATAAATGTTTTTTCATTTTAGACCGGTGCTCCCGTGGGCTCCATTACCTGTGGCAATGGTGCCGTAAGCATGCTAATGTTTAGAAATAAATACATGTTTGTGGGCTGTTATGATGGTTTTATTTATGTCATTGACAAGGAGACTGGACGTCAAATAACTCGCCTGACTGGATCAGGCAAAATGATATTGACATTGGAAATTGTAGGGGATAAGGTAATAATGAATGATGGCTCTTTAAGGTACCAAAAAAAATATATGTATTTTAATGGTGTATTTTTTCTATATTGCAGGTCATAACATCCGCCAAAGATGCTAGCATGAAAATTATAAATATACCAACATTTTGTTTAACAGATTCACTTTAAATGCAAAATTCATATGAAACTGAATCTCACAAAGTCATGGGCAAAAAAACTACAAACACAAACACTAACCCACAGCAAATAATCATTGGAGATTATTAACAAAAGAAATTGTTTATATAGTTATGTTTATATATAATCTTTCTATATATAATCATTAAAATGTATACATTTTATTTTCAATACAATTATAATAATTATATATAGATTTTCATTCAGTTAATATGTTTGTCATCTTAAATACTATTTAGAATTTTAATTTACATTATTATTACAATTTGCCAGCGAAAGTAAATAATATACAATTGTGTTCTTTTATGAAATATACAATAGTAGTAGATATCGTTTATTTGGTATATCCTATATACCAAAATATATTATTTTTTATTTAATTCTTTTTTATTTGCTAAATGTAAATGTTTATTTTTTTTAATGGTAGGTTTTCTTTGTTACTATACTCAATTGTGAAGGAGAAACATAATGAGAGAAATAATAATGATAATGATGATAATACTATTTTTTGTAATTTTGAGTAATTTTAAATAAAATAAATAAGTAAACAGAAAAAATCTTGCGGCTATTGTGTCCTGGATTTTTCAAAGTTTTTTATCAATGGCCCAAGTGACTAACTTGTGTATTTAATTGTATATGATGTAGTTTCTGATTTAACTTTTGATAGTGATCCTTAAGGTAAGCTATTAAATCAGCCTGAAACAAAGTCAAATATATAATAAAAGGTTATAAATAGAGGAAAGGTTTAGTTGTTATTGTTGTTTTTTTTTAATTATCTGTTTTTCTAAAACCTCAACCACATTACCACCTGGCTGCATAAGACCCAAAAGAACCCGAAGGCGTATTTGTAACCATCATTTGTAATTTTATAGACAATCGGACAGTAGCCTTTATAGACGAACGGAAAGGAGGAGGCTGTCTTTATAGATGAGCTTAGGTAGTCTTTATGGACGAACAGAAGGCAGTCCTTATAGATGAGCTGAAGGCAAAGGCGAGCTAAAGACATTCTTTATGGACGAGCTGATAGGAGTCTATTTAGGCGATCGGAAGGGAGTCTTTATAGGTGAGCTGAAGTGAGCCTTATAAACCATAAGAACAACGTTTTTAAAGACAATCTGAAGGGAGTCTTTATAAACGAGCCGAAGAGAGTCTCTATAGACGATGGGAAGGGTGTATTTAAAGGTAGTCTTTATAGACAATCGGAAAGTAGTCTTTATAGACGAGCTGAATGGAGTCTTTATAGTTTATATACATATATGTATGTATCCTCAGCTTATGGTTTGTGGAGGTCTACGGAAAAACACACAGGTTTTATTATTCGTTGTATAAAAGGTATGTATAGAGTTACTAAAAGGAATGGATCGAGAAGTCACATATTTCAACATTGTACAGGCTTGGTTAAAATATAACACAACAAGTAAAAAAGTGTCAGTCGGTGTTGTCGACAGACATCTACACTCACCCTACGGTTTGAGGAGGGGGTTTTCGGAGGTGTTATTATTCGTTTTATATAAGGTAATACGTTCTTATCAAAGAGGTTTCGGATTCAAATTAGCTTCAAATAAAATTTACAAATTTATATAATATAGACCCTTTATGGGGGAGGGGCCAGAGAAGAGGGCAGACGGGTCCCAACTTCGGACTTTATCTAGGCTTGGTAAAGATAGTAGGTTGTGCAAAGTTTAATTCAAATCGGACATTTCATTCGCCTAATATTGGATTTATAGATATTCAAAAATGTTGACCATTTGTGTGGAAGGTACCAGAAGGAGAGGACCAGTGGGTCCCATCTTTAAACTTGATCTAGGCTTGGTAAATATAAAAGGTTGTGCAAAGTTTGGTTCAAATCGGACATTCCATTCGCCTGATATTGGATTTAAAAATATTGAAAATTTTGATCCCCTGTGGGGGGAGTACCAAAAGGAGAGGACCAATGGGTCCCATCTTCAAACATGATCTAGGCTTGGTAAAGATAATAGGTTGTGCAAAGTTTGGTCCAAATCGGACTTTCCATTCGCCTGATATTGGATTTAAAAATATTGGAAATGTTGACCCATTGTGGGGGAGGTACCAAAAGGAGTGGACCAATGGGTCCCATCTTCAAACTTGTTCTAGGCTTAGTAAATATAACAGGTTGTGCAAAGTTTGGTTTAGATCCCTAGTCCCTTAATTTTTTGCATAATTTTGACTATTTTGTGGGGGGAGGTACCAGAATGAGTGAACCGATATTCCACTATTTGAACTTGAACTAAGTTTGGAAAAAATATTTAGATGTGCAAAATTTGGATGAAATCAGTTACTTCCTTCGAGAGTCAACTCCAAATTGTCTGATACGGATTGTGTCCAAATAAACATAAAACCAATATTTCAATGAGACGCATTATCTCCGTATATACCCACCCTCATTAGCCATAAGGCTGAGGGTACAAAAATCGGTCCTATAAAAATTTAAATAATATGTTGTTCTTCATATTAGCTAGTTTGTAAAAACAATCACCTATCAATTTTGATTTAAAAATCCGACTACAAACAGTCGATGTTTAGCCTAAAAGTATGCTATAATTTTCTTTACAAACACTATCATCATGCAGCGCAGTCATGAAAGCGAAAACTTGCCGTTTTTACAAAATGCATTTTTGTGTGATTTTTCATTTTCAGGTAATAGGCGCCCAGCATCGAACTGTAGGCATATTTCGCATCATCGTTGAATTCAAATGCAAATAACTCAGCGACTACTTAACCGATTTTCATAAAAGTTACACCAATGGTTCGAGGGAATTCTAAAGTTTTATTCCATATTGACAGTACATAGATAAATTTATGTTATATAAGAGAAAATTAGCATTATATGCAACTTCTAAGATATCTTAAATATCGACTATTTTTTAATAAATTTAAATCAAGTAGACACCACCTTTGTTCGATTTACCCGAATTTGTGCATAGCACATTGAATTGAGTATGGAATGACGTAATATCTATACCAACCCTGTATATTTTTGGAAGATAGGACTTATCGATGGACTACTTCTAATATCTCTCCCACAAAGAGTCAATAAAATGAAAACTTGGAAATCTGATATGGAACGAATAGAATGTCCAATTGCATCGAAATTTGGCACGCATCGTAATATGTTTGCCTTAAATGTTCGAAGGTGGAATCCGTCGGCTAGTAAAAACATTTAAAATAAAAATATGTCTTTATTATTAAATTATAGTCCGGGGCTCCCGTGTCTGTGGCAATCGTGCCGTCAACATATCAATGTTTGTATATAAATACATGTTTGTGGGCTGTTATGATGGTTTTATTTAAGTCATTGACAAGGAGACTGGATGTCAAATAACACGCCTGACTGGATCGGGCATAATGATATTGGCATTGGAAATTGTTTGGGGATAAGGTAATAAAGAATTATTTTTAAGGGGACTAAATGTAGAATTTAATTATGTAATTTTTTCTTCCTTACAGGTCATAACATCCGCCAAAGATGCTAGCTGAAAAATAATAAATATACCCACATTTTATTTAACAAATTCACTTTAAAAGGAAATAAATGGGAAACTGAGTCTCATAAAGTCATGGCCAAAAATACCAAAAACATATGGAGTAAAAGAAGCAGAACCAGTAATCCAATAAATAATCATCAAGATTATTAAGAAAACAGATTGTTTATATAATAATATGTTTAATTTTCTTTAAATAATTATATATATTTTCTTTCAGTTAATAAGTTTGTCATCTTATATACTATTTAGAATTTTAATTTACATTATTATTACAATTTGCCAGAGAAAGTTAATAATATACAATCGTATTCTTTTGATGAAAAATACAGTAATATTACATACATTTCGTTTGATATATTCTATATACCATATATATATATATATATATATAATTTTTTATTTTCTAAATGAAAATGGTTTTTCTCTGTTACTAAACTGAAGGAGAAACATAATGAGAAAAATAATAAAAATATTTTTGTAATTTTGATTAATTTTAAATAAAATAATAAACTGAAAAAAAAACTTGTTGCCATTGTTTCCTGGATATTTCAAAGTTTTTTTGTTCTCAATGGCCCAAAGGACTAACTCGTGTATTTAATTGCATATGATGCAGTTTCTGATTCAACGTTTGATTGTGATCCTTAAGGTAAGCTATTAAGTCAGCCTGGAACAAAAAAAAATGAAATGCACGTAAATAAATAAATTAAAAGGTTGATTATTTATTTCAAATTACCTGTTTCTCTAAAAGTTCAGCCACATTACCACCTGGCTGCATAAGACCCAAAGAACCAGAAGATGTATTTGTACCCATCAAGGCATCTGGGGCATTTGCGTTTTTATTAAATTTGAAAACTTTAGCTGAAAAAATAAGAAAAGAAAAATTAAAAAAATAATCAAATAAAATGAGCGTAATATTGTCTTTTTTGGGGGAGCTGAAGGAAATTTTATAGACGTGCTGCATGCCATTTGTATAGACAAACTAATGGTTGTCTTAAAGGACTAGCTGAAAGGATTTAATATGAATTAAGTGACGGACGAATAGTCGAACGAAAAAGAGTCTCTGTAGACGACCAGAATGGAGTCTCTATAGACTAGCTGAAGGAGCCTAAATAGACGAGCTTAAGGGAGTCTTTATAGACGAGCTGAAGGGAGTCTTTATAGACGAGCTGAAGGGAGTCTTTATAGACGAGCTGAAGGGAGTCTTTATAGACGAGCTGAAGGGAGTCTTTATAAACGAGCTTAAGGGAGTCTTTATAGACGAGCTGAAGGGAGTCTTTATAGACGAGCTGAAGGGAGTCTTTATAGACGAGCTGAAGGGAGTCTTTATAGACGAGCTGAAGGGAGTCTTTATAGACGAGCTGAAGGGAGTCTTTATAGACGAGCTGAAGGGAGTCTTTATAGGCGAGCTGAACAAACTATTTATACGATCAGAACACAAGATTCCTTAAGACAATCAATCATTTTTTGGCAGCAGAGCTACATGTATTCTTTTTTCGACCTCTTTCAACCCCCTACAAAAAAATATATATAATTAAAAAAAAACTTACCAATATAACAACCATGTGTTGCCATCAAAATAATTGTTTCGGCCACTTGCAATGCCACCATACACGATATCGGTGTAAACCATGAATTCCACATAACGCTTCCTTCCAAATGATGCAGTAACGCTTGAGTCAATAACAATATAGTATTCCAGGCAGAGACAACATTCAATGCAACACCATTATGCATTGTAATGGTACGATGGAAATCATGATAACCGTTCATTCTTAAATCATTATGACGTTTGCGTATAAGATGATCAAAGAGCTGATAGAAAAAAATTAAACCTACTTTTTTTGTACAAACAAAATATCAATGAACTTACAAATGTTATCAACCAAAATGTGACTCTCAAGCATGTCATTATAAAATAGGCTTTATCATGCAGCTCCTCTGGCCATGAAACGGACAAGGCAATGCCGACAAATGAAATGGTAACGGACAAACTCAAATGAATGCTGTAAGAGATAATAATGGTTATAATTAATTAATTCAGATGTTCATTTCTTTTTCGAGGATGCAAACATTTTGGGGTAGGTCAGGAAGTTGTCTATATATGAATATTTACAAAGTGTGTTGCTATTCTACAAATCCCGCCTTTCATACATTGTACGATTAAGAGCCTTATTTTATCAATTGTAAGTAGCCTACATTAACTGGCTACATTAACAAGATGATTTTCGCATGAAATTCGTTAACATTTTCATGCATTCCAAGCAAAGATACTATGTTACTGATGATCGATCGCTTTGAATTATTGTGTTGACAGAACATTATAAGCCCTGGACCCATGCCTTCCTTTCTCCACAATAGGGTTTTTTGGAGTGTCCAAATCCAAAACTTTACGTTACGCTTTACGTTACATTCGAGATATACATAATGATGGGGGTGTAGACCTATCATCCTTATTATAAAAAAGTTAGGAATTGTCAAATGTTATTTCCCTCTTCCAAAAAGAATGGAATTATAATGTTATAATAGTTTTAAATATTTCTCGGTCACTCTCATTTACAATATCCATACACCACAGTTGAGTAGGGTATACATTTTGTGACTTTCTAACATGTCCATGGTCTACAGCATAGCATGTTTGTTCCAATTGTATTTCGAATTTCCAGCAACTCTTCTTTAACACGCACACAAACTTATATACATATTTCACAATTTAAAGAGGAATAAACCCATCACATCCTAAATCCCCGCTGTCATGATTACCAATTATTTTATCATATCGTACTCAGTTTCTATATCTTAAATGTCCGCAAAATATATATGGAAAATAAATATAACAACTTTATTATGATCGCTCTCACCTAAATACCGGTATTGTTGGTAATTTTTTGAAAAATCCATCGCCGGACGAGGCTAAAATTGGTTCAACATCAGCCATAATTCTCGAATCACCAAAATTCTCATCCATATATTGAGCACCCTAAATATATAAATACGCAAATCACATGAAATCATCCACAACAAATACTGCTGACCGGTTCTTTACAAATCGATGAAATGGAACAAAACTTACTGATGCACTTCCAGCCCGATTCGGCAACAAACTGGCCATTTAATCAGCAATGAAAACGCCGATAACTACTGCAAAGGCAAATGCACATTTGTTATTCCCTTTGTTTGTGTTTTTATTTCGTATTTCGTCGAGTATCTTTATCAATACTATTTTGAATTGTATAATTGCATAGAGGGAGATGACTCACAACAACAATTCCAAATGCTTTTTCCTTTCCTTTTCTTTTATTATATTTACATATATATTTATGCGAAATAAGTATTCGTATGAGTTTTTGTTGTAATCTAATTTTTTTTGTTGTTTTTTTTTTTAAATGTTTGTCAAATAACTACTATCGAAGGCAATCAAAACAATGGGGGCGTTTATCGATAGTAGGGTTTTAAAGGACGAGTATCGACTGTTTGTACGGCGCCAGAAATGATGTTTAACACTGAAATTCCTTTATAAATTGACATTTCATACAATGCCAAACACTTTATCATGATACAATTATACAAGGTAACTTCAAAAATACACAAATACAATTCAACAATAACCACATAGAAAATTGTTGTTGTATGTAACGCTAGTGTCAGCTTGATATGTCAAAAACGTAAACAAAAAATACGAAATATCAAAACATTTGTTTTATTTTGAATTTTCCGAATAACACTGAAAAACATGAATGAAAATCTTGCAAAATTACAATTCTATCGCTTTCAAATCTTTTCTCTAATTGAGTCATTGCCATATGTAGATGTAACTCATACAAAAACGCTAAAAATAGCGTTGAGAATTGCAATTTTTCATTGCAAAAGGATTTGCTGGATCAAATCTTCCCATTAGGAAATTGAAGTAAGTCTTTGATTTGAAAATGTATCAGAGTTAAACTTCATTTTTGACTCCGTACTCCTATATTATTTTACAATAAAAGAAGCCAATTTAACACGCATGTTAAGCCTTTTATATTTTTTTTTATAATTTGACATTTTATACGAAGCCAACATAACAGGCAAGGCTTGAATCCTCGTATGTGTTTTCCCCTTAATTGTCAGGAATCGATAGAAAGCTCTCATTTAAAAGTTATAGTGTGTATTCGTCTTTATGACTGCGCTATTCAAGCAAAAATATTGTGAATAAATGTATAAAAGGAAGGTATCTTACACGAAAATTCAAACTAAATACCTTTGTTCGATAATGTATATCCAACTTAATGCTTACACAATTGCTAGCCATACTGAACTAAGAATCCCTAATGTCCATATGGATATTGTAATAGATTATTTACAAGGTATGACATTCGGCGCATACACGTGAATTTTATTTGTAAACATTGGTGGCCAGCAAACGAACAGAAAAGTAAAAATGGCTTTACTCGGATTAAAAAGGAAACAACCCAAGAAACAAGGTAATGCCAATATAAACTAATATCCCATAATAGCATTACCGATTCATTTTCTACTCCAGTTTCAGATTCCGATGAAGCTAGCCACAATGAAAATGCCACCTCGGATGAGGCATCTTCAGATGAGGAGGCTCCACAGGCAGGCAACAGCGGTTGGGCTGATTCCATTGCAAAAGTTCTAAGCACATCGAAACCAAAAACTAAAAAGACTCTAGTCCTGTCCAGAGCTAAAAAAATCAAACCAGACGATAAGAAAAAAGCCGAGGAAGATTACGGTTTTGAAATTGATGGTGAAATTAAGAAAGAAGAAATCAAAAAAGAAGTAAAAGAAGAACCTGAAGATGTTAAACCACCGAGAAATCTAAAACTAGAACTGCGTGTCAAACCATCATGGAAGGATATAGAGCGTGAGCGTGCCCTGCGTAAAGTTGCCACCAAGGGTGTAGTTCAACTATTCAATGCCGTGCGTATTCAACAAAAAGATTTGCAACATCAGTTGGAGGAAGCCGGTCCTTTGGACAGTCGGAGAGAAGCTGTTTTGAAAAATATCGATAAACGTAAATTTTTAGATGTCCTCATGGGCGGCAAACGTGCCAAATCAGAAGCTGTCGATAATGCGGTCAAGAATGAAAATGACGACAGTAGCGATGAAGAATATGATAATAAGAAAAAGAAATCCGAATGGAGTGTACTGCAGGATGATTTTATGACAAACAAGAAAAATAAACACTGGGACGAAGAAGATGAGGACGACGATAATGCCGATGGCAACAATTCAATTGAAAGTGATGGGGATGATGATTAATCTTAAGAATTACTATTTTATTGTAAGATTTTTGTAGTTAATATTATTTACAAATAAATATAGTATGTACCTATACAAAAATAGTTTTGTACCACAACTGAAACTATTATGATTGGTCTCTTTTTGGTGATTTTAGGAATTGCATATTCAGTAAGCGGGCAACTCCAAGCATAATTGCGCCTGTAAGGAAGAGACAAAGGTAGCTAGTACTTTCGATTGGATTTGGATCAGTTGTGTTGTTGTTACTTACCAACTGATATAACTTTCATAACATTTCTCTCTAAAGGTTTACGTCGCCCAGCTTGATGATATATATACGCCCCCATACCCATTACACCAAATCCGCTGATTAACCGGCAGGGTAAACAATCTTCTGTCGGTGTGGTGGACGACATGGTTGTTGTAAACGGTGTAGACTGGACGCAAATGAGATCGAAAAAAAAAAACATATGGAACAACCTATCCATGACATGCATGCATGTTTCACTCAGCAAGAAACAATTGTTGTGTTCCCGTACATAGTAAATATACAAATTCATAAAAGAGCTGTGTCTGATTAAAAGAGACGTGTATTAAAGAACAACAGTCAAAAAATAGCGAATATTTAACTGTGGTCAACACTTAAAATTAACTGCCTACTGAAAAATAATTTGTCAACATAGAACTGTCACCTTTTCTTTCTCAATTCGTTCCCCTTTACTGAACTTTGGAGTGAGCAGACAACATCCAGTAACATTTAGAAACAATCATCAAATATATAATAAACTGACATAACTTCAAAATGCAACATGAAAACATTTACTGAGTTAATATAATAAATAAAATCTACTCTTACAATAAAATGAATGCAATATATAGGGTAAACGAACACACCTATTGTTATTAATTTTTTTTTCGCATCACTTATTGTAATTCAATCTGACATAAAAAAATATTGCATCAGGAACCAAACAGTTAAACAAAACTGATTGTGTGTACACCGCTTTACTGTTCACGGCGACTAACCGTTTTCTATTTTGTTATCTACCC